AAATTCCCTGTATCGCCCACCTCTAATTTCAACATCTTTTTCTGAATCCAACATTGTAGCTTGGCATAGACCATTCGCGTTTACAGTTTGAAGAACACCTGCTTGCTGATGATGATTTGCTTTAGCTAACCAATGAGTGTTTGTGTTATATGACTCATTCAATTACACTAGTTTTTTACTAGATGTGGATGGCGCCAATGATCTGCGTGGGTGGCGCACATGACGTGAAATAAATATTTATAAACATTAAACCAGGGGTACAAATAAAGAAAATCAACAACCAGTAAAGGTCCGGAGACATTTTTAATTATAATCTGTTACTTTTCACAGAATTTAATAATAAATAAAATTAGGTATTTATGCATCCATGGTATACATTGAATTAAAAAAAAAAAAAAAAAAACTTAGAAATTGCAATCTCAGAGGAGTTGACACTTGTATGACTGTACTCCTTTATATCCATCAGTAGTTAAAGGACAAGTGTCAGAAAATGCTAATTCTGCCCTTGAAATCAATGACACTGCAATTGTTGCTGTCTGATCTGAAGCCTTGTTTGGAGCTTTTAAACAGGCTTTTGAAAAACTTTGATGATTTTCTGCTGTGATATTATAGAATTTTTAGAATAAAAAGCTAGCAGATGTGCATAATCAAAAAATAACAGAAATACAATTATAGAGCATTCAGTATTGAAAGAAAGCCCACACTGTTTCTGAATAAATGCATTATTCTATGAGTTAAGTTCTGTGCCGTTTATCTCTCTTTCCTTGTAAGTATGAAATGTCCCATGCTCCTGAATGCATCATAACTGTCTGACACGCATGAATGTTAGGTTTCTGTTTGTGGGGAATGTTTTTGCGTTTCCTTTTTTAGTGTCTCCATCCATCCACTAGATGGTGGCCTTTCCCCTGTTGGCCTGGAGGGCCTCTTCCGGTTTTCCACCCACACCTGCGGCTTGTTGGGTCATCACCAGAGGAGTATTCTAGCAGCAGACTGTCACCACCTCGACACGTCTCTCTGAGTCCTCTGATGTAACCCTTTGTCTCATTTGTGGTTTTCGGCAGGATAATCTCCTGATCCACTGGATAAGCCTGGTCCTTCAAGCTGTGGAAGGAACCCATTCGTCTCTCTGAGATTCAGGAAATCATTCATCGCTTCTGTTTGCAGTCCCCTTCATGAATGCTCGTTGACAGTCCGCTCCACTGCTCCTCTGGACCACAACAAGTCTGCCTGTCTGCCCTACAGCAAGTAACCGTCTTATCCGAACTACCCCCACAAACAGGAACCAAGGAGCAACCACAAGACAACAACTGTGAGTTCCTTAACTGGCTTTTTTCAGTTGTGGCCTGTAAATCCCATGGACCGTGAACTCACCACTCCGATCTCCCTCTAGAGTTTCCGGTTCTGGTCTCCCTGAGTGCCACTCTCCATCAATAAACTGATAAACTTTTTCCCTGCCTCTGAGTTTGTTTCTGCATTTGGGCAAAACATTTAAAACCCATCATGACTAGAACAAATAAATCAGCCGAACCTCGGACAAAATCTTTGGATTTATTGTTGTTCATAACACCCGTACTGGGGGTGCATGTCTCGGCAGGCATGCACTTTTTAGCATAACACCGGACCGCGGTCCGCTAATCCGTGACCTCTGCATTAAACCTAAGCCAAGAGTAACGAGTATTGTTTGTTTTAAAAATGTAAGGAATAGAAAGTATAGATATTTGTGTGAAAATGTAATGAGTAGAAGTCAGGAGTAGGAAGAAAAATAAGTAATGGAGTAAAGTATAGATACCTAAAAAGTGTACGTAAGTACAGCAACAAAGTATTTGTACTTCGTTACTCGACACCTCTGGGTATGGGGTATTGCAGACTAACAAAAAAACTCAAATGACCCCCATTCCAAATGGCTGGACCCCTTCGTCTGTTCCAATTAGCAAGTTATCAAAACAAAAACAAGCCTTTGTTGGGCTACTGTATAAAACCTTGAAATGAATGCTATTCCTGACATTTTGAATTGAAAAAGCTCCCTGGATGGGAGGCGAAATGTCTTCAAACTCGGAAACCAAGTCCAGAGCATCACTTTACATTTTTTTGGAATGACTTAGGACTTAATCTGGATGCCACTGATTTAGTGATTTAATGACGTTCCACAAATTTGAAAAATTCAGTGACGATATCATTTGTAGTTTATAAATGTATTAAAGCGTGTATTAAAGTTGTTCAGTAGGATGAGTTCTAAAATCAGAGCTATAGTTTCTCTGTGGTAATATATTCTGCCTTAAACATCTATTCCATAGTCAAAGTGTGTGGAGAATCAAAACTCTGTTTTCTGTTTAGTTTGTTTTTAAATAAGAAATAATAATCACAACAGCTGTTGTTATTTTTTTATGGTGTTTTTATGCTGAATTTCTTTCCAGATGATGTATAATCTGAAGCAGGTGGTTCTATGCATTAATACATTAGGTGGTTTCTGAAAGTTACAAGGTTCTTTAAAATTACTATGAAAATTATAAAGAAATGTACTTAGATTAGAGCATTTAATTATTATTTTTTAATACATCAGCAATTTTTAATGCATGCCTGTAGAATACTTACGTATTTTCAAAAGTGAGTACTTCAATACTTTAACCTGAGTAGATGATTGAATGAGTTACTTTTACTTGCAGTTGAGTAAGATTTGACTATGAGCATCAATATTTGTACTCAAGTACTACAGTTGAGTAGTCCGTCCACCTCTGTGTTTATCTTTGGTTTTGTAGCGCTTACTGTCCGGGTAATAACTCCTCTAGCCATGACAGAGGTGGTCATTCAGCAAGTTGTAAGTTGAGGTAAAAAGTTATGAAAATAATTTTTGAAGGTTTGAAAGTTATTTAGTGTTGGTTTAACTACTATAAATGAGTCAGATCATCAGTGCTTTCTTTTTAACAGATTCTGATGGTCTACATTATGTATATTACTGCTTTAGGTTTGATTTCTAGACAGTCAAATCAGCATTAAGAAAATGGTTGACAGCAGCCAATGAATTGCTGTCTATGGTGTGTTGGCCTACTGTAATCCAGCCCGATGCAGAAAATATATTATGGATTATTTTTATGCCCATTTTGCTAATAACCCTCTAATGTGTGAATTTGTTTGATGGTTTACTTTGAACTGTTTATACTGTACAAAGCCAAAACTCTTTCTTGGATACAAATCTGCTTGTTTGTGATGATTCCTGTAGGATACTAACACAGCTGCAACTCTAAATTAGCAATGCCTTCAGATGTTCATTTTTTCTTAGGAAAGAACATGCAAGTATGCCTTGATGTGCTGTTTTGTTTCTACTGAGGAAAAATGAGATAAGACCAGCTGTCAATCAAGTAGTCCCAAACTTAAGGACTTTTATTTTTGATTCGAGAACCACATTCAGAAGCAAAGTTGCAAACACTGGCTGTAATAAAGAGAATACTAATAGTCTAAAAGGAAGCCTTAAACCTTTAGACCATAATTGACTATCATAAGTTTCATTATTGCAAATTCAACCATAGCAGCATCTCTCAGCCACAACAGACATGCTTGCTTATTCAACTAAAATGCATCTATAAATTAAAGCTCTTTAATCTGTGCAACTATATTTAAACTAGTGCAATTTTTACTTCATACAGTTACTAAGATGAGATTACAACAGGTTTTGTGATCACATTTGAAGTATGACAATCATATTTTTCACGCTTGAGTCATTATTTTCACTAAGAGGAGATTTTAGGCTTAAGATTATAAAATATCATTGACACAAGTAAACAACTATATTCCCAGCCAATTGCATGATTTTATTGCGTGCATGACTGATACTAAGCTGCTTTTTAGTCTTGTAATTTTCCAGAAGAGGGATCCGTCTAACACTCCCTCAGATAATCGACAGACTGCAGACAAAAGGAAAATCACCTTAATAAAGATGTCACCATTCATTTTGCATAGCCGTCCTTATCTCTGCTAAAATGGCAGATGACTTCTTCATGTCTGTGGGTGTTTAACTTTAAGAGCAATGAATGGAGACGGAGTGATCGCAGTAAAATCTAAAATAGTTCACCCTTCAGCTCCCTGGGTGGTGGCTTTAAATAGCATTTGTGGCATTCACTGGGCGACTCTTGCTTCTCTTCGACTTTAGCAAATTTTCTTTCTGAGATTCATTCCCTGTAGAACCGCCTGCTGTTTCATCCATGTACTTGTGGAAGCAGTAGACCCCATACAGTCTAAACTTTTTGTCTGGGAAGCCCAAGTGTCGGACCCCTGGCTGGGAACCTCCACAACGAGAGCGAGGGTTGACAATGGGGTACCGAATGCTGCCGTCTTCCAGCCACCCTGCTTCACAGCGATCCAGGAGCTGGAACTTCCACGCTGCATACAGCTGACCTACTTTGGCCACAGCTGCTCCATCTCGAATGCACGCCTTCACACCCTCTGCATAATTTACTTTCTTGAAACGTTTCAGGAAGTATACTTCGCCTGCAGGTAAATTCAGAGAGGAGAGGTTGTGTAAACAAGTGAAAAAGAGGATGAAAACTCATCCATGCATTAGAGAGTCACTATTTTGGCTCTTAGGGTATCAAACACAGCATGTCGCAAAAGCATTAAAAACCTATTAATTAACCTTTTCACCTCTTATGCAGATCTCCAGTTGCAACCATGTGACAAACTAGCCTCAAGCGTCCAATAATTGTGAAATGAAAGGAAAATAATAAACAGTTCTAAGAGAGAAAGGAAGTTAGGCACAACCTTTCATTCAATTTTTTTCTCTATCTTTATCGCCTCCACTGGGAATTTAAAAACTCATTCAAGAACTTCATGATGTAATTACCACTTTAGGTGACCACCTCACGTTTTGCATGATCACACAACTTTTATAGCTTTCAAGTCTTTTCTGTGCAATTAAGGTGCATTAACTGTCTGTCTATCTATCTATATATATATATTTATATAAACATATATATATGTATATATATATATATATATGAATGTAACATATAACAAACCTAAACCGGGGAACAATCGGCTTTTAGTGACAAGGCCCTGCAGCTGCCAGCTAGGAGTTAGACCCGGCTTAGGTTTCCCAGTGAGAACCTTAAGTTTCTGACCAAACCTGCCAATAGAAACCATCCATGTCAGACTCATCCTTGGCTCAGCTATTGATTTTCTGCTTGTTTATGTGACTGCTGACTATTAGAGAGACAGAATATTGTCTCATATTTCCTCAGGGGACTTTCAGTAAAATGCTTTCCATCTGGATTGAGACACAATATCTGCCTGAGCCACCGCTAAACTCTCCTGGCCACAACAGACTGTTCACAGTAATTAACACACATGGAAAGCAATAAGCGGTCATGCAAGCTCCCTGTCAAATAACCTTATCTATTTCTTAGAAACGGATGCTCTGTTTGAACACCAATCATAGGGAACTTTTATCACGATTTGGACATTTAAAAAAACAATGCATGATTTCAATCCCATCATAACAAATAACAAAGCATGTTAATTTTGTTGGGATCTGGGTTTCTGCCACCTTTCTCCAGCAGAGGGCGCCCTGGGTCTCCTGAGCTGGAGCCACCTGCACACCTGTGGCTCATCTTCTCATCAGGAGACCAACTACTTAAGCAGCGGCCAGACCTGTCTTCAGTGCCAGAGTGTTGCCAGTTATGGTTAGCAGAACCTGAGCCAAGCCTGCTGATCTGATTCTCTTAAACCCTGAGGAGTAATCTGATCCTAACCTGTTTTTGTCTTATCTGCTTCCTAGACCTGCCTGCCTGCCCTGACAGCCTAACCTGAAGAACCTCAAGCTGAGTCTGTTCCAGTTCTCAGGAGAGAACCTTGGCTGATCATTCAAAGTCTGAACTCAAGTCTGAAGTCAAGCTCTGCCGCTGCTAGCTCTCTGCTGAACCCTCAAACTCTGGACCCAACTGGTTCCCTCTCTCACTGCGTCAGTCTGAATCTCTCCAGGTACAGATCAGTATCTGACGGTGTCAAGATTCCCCAGACCTCTGGCTAACCCAACTATCCCTTCTCTACAGAGAAACCCTTGTGAAGTCATTCCGGACCTAATTCAGTATCTGTGATTACTTTGTGTGATTCAAAATAAACTGTTGAACTTTTTACCCCTGTCTCCGTGGTGTGTTCTGCATTTGGGTTTGATCCCCATACCCAACATGACAAATTTAAATCCATGGTTTTCAAAACAAGGATGCTATTTAAATGCTGCATGAGTTTTTATTTTTTATTTTTCAATAAATGTATGTTGATTTTAGGAAGAATAAACTGGTAAGGTTAATGTCCATTTGAGCTGCTCTCCAACAGACATCAAAAGCTTGATGTATCAATTTCTAAGGCTAGGAATATGCCAACTCTTATCCCAACTTCATGTTCATTTCTAGGATGAATCAGGATCAGAAAAGTTAGAATCAATATATAATAAATTAAAAAAAACTAGAATCCAGAACCAAGTTTGTATGAACCATTGTAATAAAAGAGTAGCCAGCAGGTGGTCTGGAGAAAAGGAATGCATAGTTTAACAATAATCCAGCTGCTAAGCCTGGTTTTTGCTCAGAAACCAGGTCGTCTGTGTATGTGTCGCAGTAAACGCAGATTTATGTAAATATCTGAGTTTACATAAATAATTGTTTAGGGAATATACAAAAGTAACTCCTCTCTACCTCTCTGTATAGCCACCCAAAGGAATCCAGTCTGGGTGCTGCAGCAAGAAAGGAGTCCCTCCAGATTTCAGATGGGGCCTTTCAGTGCTAGGATGTTTAGGTAAGCCCAGAGGTGCCAGGTATAGTTTAGGAGTTAATCCATTTAGGGTTGAGAGTTAAGGTTCTGCTTTACACTGCCTGATAACAGGCTGCAACTCTATCCTTTCACAATTTAACCAGTTCCTTGGTCTTCCAAACGCTCTTTGTTAAATAACTTTCTCTAGGAAACCTCTGAGGTGTTACAACTTAGGCTAATAGTATGACATGACATATTGCCTTACTGAGTCAGTTGTGTATTCACATTGATGGCAATCACAATATTAGTAGGAGTGGCATGATAATTATAAAAAATGTTGCTGTGCAGGTCATTGTGGCCGTAGGAAGGTATAATTGGGATCAAATAATGAAGTAGAGATTAAATGTTGAAAAGGAAAGCTAACACAGACACAGTCTGCTGACACAGACAAACACAGCAGGCTATCATGAACCCAAGATACGTCACAGGTCACATGATGGGTTAAAACCTTGCAGAATCGTACAGTTCAATACCGTTCCATACTCCTCCACAGTATTTACTTATTCTAAAATAGGGATGCACTGATCCAATTTGTTCTGATCCAATCCGATACCTAGGCTGAGAGGTATTGATCTAATTGAACTGTTAATTGAATTAACTATATATCTGCCATGTGTTTCGGGTTTTGGGATTGATGAAGTAAGACGTGTTGTAGGGAGCTCCCACAGACTATTTTTTTACAAGGTGCATTTGAGCTTTTTCGTGTGCTTTTCCTGCCCTCTAAATCTTAACAATGACTTTACGACAGCTCAAAATTCCTCCAAAGCCCAATACTAGCCGAATACTAATAATTCAACAAATAAGGTGGCAAGGCCTGGTCCACCTCAGCCTGCTAGTTCTAGGCCACCTTCGCTTGTTCTTTCACACCCCGGAACGTATGTCACCCGGACTCTCAGGCTGAACTCCTTGTTACACTTCATGAAGAGATGGCAGTCATTTTCAAGACACAATTGGAGACAGCGTTAACAAATAATCTGACTCAGAGTAAGTGGGAGCTGTACGGCGTGAAGACTGAGCTAAGCGCTAGCATTGCAGCTATCAGGTTGGAAGTGGATGCATCAAGGGGGACGGTTGCAGACATGGAGGGACCGCTGTCTTCATGATGTTGCTGATGATGTGGTTTCACTCAAGAGCAGTTTGGACAGGCTTTCGGCACAGGTTCTCGCTCTCAACAGGAAATGCGAAGACTTGGAGTCAAGGTCTCTGCGTAATAACATTAGGAGCATAGGACTACCGTTTACATTATAACACAGACTGCGCGGGTATCCTGCGACGTGCCAGAGGCCAGCAGTCGGTAAAGCTGGGGGAATTCTACAATTTCCATCTTTTTACCGCTCAGATCTCAAAATCCTGTGCAGCCTTCAGCGACGTCAGACGCCAGCTCAGAGAGGTTCTGGACATAAGGTTTGGGCTTCTGTATCCAGCCCGTCTCCGCATCCCCAGAGGAGACATCCCAGGAGAGTTTACTTCACCTACGGAGGCGACTGCCTTTGTGAAAATACTCCAGATTAAATAAAAACTGGCTCCGTCACCTTAAAGGTAAATTCTGGTTTGAATGTAAGTATAGTTGCAGCCAGGCTTTTCTTTACTCTGGCGAATTCTAAGTGACTTGTGACAGTGATGGCTGTAATGCACATTTCAATGATTTCAGTTTTGCATAGTTTGATTTGATGTGAGTGGAGCCACTCATATAAGGCACAGACCCCTGAGCCTGCTCTGTGTCATCCAGAGACTCCTGAAGTGGAACCACAGTCGGTGGTTTCCCCCGTTCCTGAAGCTGAACCGCTAGGGAGGGCCTCCTGCATTCCTGATTCGGAACCACAGTCGGTGGTTTCCGGTGTTCCTGAAGTGGAGCCACAGTCGGTGGCCTACTGTGTTCCTGATCCAGAGCCGCAATCGGCGGCCTCCTGTGTTCCTGCGGAGCCACAGTCGGTGGCCTCCTCTGCTCCTGATTCGGAGCCGCAATCGGTGGCCTCCTGTGTTCCTGTGGAGCCACAGTCGGTGGCCTCCTCTGCTCCTGTTGTGGAGCCGCAATCGGCGGCCTCTTCAGTTCCTGATTCGGAGCCGCAGTGGGCGGCCCTGTCTGAGCCTGTTGCAGAGCAGCAGAAGCGGAGGCGGCTCCCTCCTCGGAGCTTCCTGCAGAAGCGGAGGCGGCGTCCTCCTCGGAGCTTCCTGCTGGAGCGGAGACGGCGTCCTCCTCGGAGCTTCCTGCAGAAGCTGGGATGGCGTTCTCCTCCAAGGCCCCTGCAGCTTCTGAGACTCCGGTCCCGCGGCCGGCCTCCGGAGCGTCTACCTCAGCTCCATTTCCACGGCCGGCCATCTGAGACTCTGCCCTGCTGCCGGTCCCACGGCCGGCCACCTGCAACTCTGTCTTGCCCCCGGGTTTTTTTGTTTTTGGGCGTCTGGTATCCGCCCTTAAGGGGGGGGTACTGTTGGGATCCAGAGGTTTGCCCTCCAGAGGGCGACGTGGATCCCTTTCTGTGGGCTTCTGTTGTCTGTTGGGATCCAGAGGTCTGCCCTCCAGAGGGCGATGTGGATCCCTTTCTGAGGGGTTCTGTTGTCGGTTGGGATCCAGAGGCTTGCCCACCAGAGGGCGCCTTGGATCTTCTCCTGAGAGCTGGTGCTCATTAGAAGCAGCTGATCCCCATCTGCTGATTAAAGAGCTCTCCCTATATAAGCTGAGTGAG